GTACTTTATTTTAACTACATGGACAACATTGTTCATGTTCTCGTCTGCTTATGGTTATGCACCTAGTGGATTAAAAACTGTATCCACAATGGGACAGATCAGAGATGAAACATCTGTATGGTACAATAGTTTACTTGACCACTTCTTCTGATCTTGCACAGCAAAGTAAACAATGAATGTGCTATTCATTGTTTTCATAGGCTACAGAGGCTACAGGCTATTCATAGGCTACAGAAATGACAGAGCATTTAGACAGTCAGATGAAAGCAGCTGTGCGAAGTGCTCTTAATAAAGTCAAATATGCGAGTAATAATAAAGCTGACTAAAGGCAGGCCTGACCTACGGCAGTCATTTTCAGCCGTGACTAATGCAGATGGAAACTAGTCATACAGAACTGCGGACGGGAACGGGATAAAACAATTAGCTTTTCTTCACTGAGAAGTAAAGAACAGGCTTAAACTCCTTACACAAAGCCTGAATTAAGGTGCTACTTGTTTTATATTGTTTCATACAGTTTTATTTTAAGGAGTATAAGGAAATATATTTAATTGAGAAAAATAAAATATAGTAAAATATTACATTTTCTTATTGGCTTGTCTTACAGTAAAAAAAAAATACCTGATGGACAAACTCACTTGTCCACATTTTTTGCCTACATAGTACTAATGAAGGCCTTTTAAATGTGTCCCAATGTATCTTTTTCATTCATTCAGTCATTCATAATAGGTTTGTAAATATTATTTTCCTTGAAAATTTGTAAATACTGCTATCTAACTGCATAAAAATCACAGTGTAACTCCCTATACTTTACATATTTCAGAGAATTGTCATAATATTATTATTTCCACACCTAATGAGCACTCTCTGATTGATAGCTCGTTTCCTACCGTAGCTCTTCCCACTGTCTCCCCACTCCTTTTAAGTAAACAGCTGTCCACCACATCCTCTGACATGAACATTAGCTTGCATCATTTTTCCATATGCCATTAAAGTGGAAAACCAGTGGCAAAGAAAATAATTCAGGATGTCCATTTTTAAAGCTTCAGGTACTTTTTAGTTTGAGGTCTAGCTGTAGAGCTTTGGCTTGCTGAAAGGGTGAATAGCTGAATCATCTGTGGAAAGCCAGGTCACTGTCAAATCTGATTAGGGAACAGTAAGTAGGATGTTGTTCAGGTCTGTAATTGCAAAAATAAGCTGTTATGTAAAATGGGGAGTGTGTCCAAAGATCAGTCAGAGAGCAGAAGGCATTAATTCTGGCAAGTGCTTTTTGTAGGCACTCTGTCTGATAAATGAAAGGAATGGGATATGGAGTGAAATATCAGGCTATATTAATATTGTGTGCAACTGCCTGAAGAGAAAATGCTAATGTGATATGTGTGTCTTAGCATGTCTTCTGTTACTAGAAGACTTTCCTTTTTTATGGAGGTCTTTTCTGAAATGAATCACTGGAAAGTAGCAGATTTCAGTTAACTAAACAATGACTCAAACCACACTGTGTACAACATGCAGCTGTTAGCATTGTTCAGACAAAACCACCACTAAAATCATCCCTCTCTCCATGGCCAGGAGAGGATGAGATGAAATGATAATTCCATGTGTTTCTGTTGAAAGCCAAAAGTATATAATTAAGTCATAAACTGGAAATTTACTGCCATGCTTTAGGTGATGAAGCCAACTTTGATGGAATGCTTCAGTTAATGACCATTTTCTAAGCCAACAGCAAAATTTTCACTCGACCTGTCGTTATTCAGTAGCACATGCTTTTGTGTGGAACTGCATGATGAGTTTAAATCATAAATACATTCTAGAACGTGTCTGTGTTAAATGCGTATATGTAAGGCTCGTAAGTTAAAAATATGTCTCACGTTGTCAGTGAAAGCACTCCTCTGTCAACCATTTGTCTAGACCAGAGGTGAAGTCTGCCATCCGTAGTAAAAAAAAGACAATGCCATTTTTCATGGACTGGGCAAGTTGAACTGAAAAGCAGCCTTCACATGTTTTGCATTTAAAAACACAGTGGATAGCTTGGGTTTGCATTGGAAATGTATCCTTATGTTAGGACAGCACAATATATTGTTTGTTAATTGTGATTGTGAAATTGAATACTGATATTACAGAAGGGTGTTATAGTGTTGGAATGATACCAAAATTATGACTTAAGGTACTGATACCAGCTGTTTCTTGGTTAAACCCCAAGATTAAATTCCCCTAAGCGTTTTAATTAACAGAAGCATTTTATTAACAGAGCTTCATAAGATGTTGCTTTTAATTTTAATCACGGCAAAAGCTGATTTTCTAAATAGGATTACACAATATCGTGCCAATACTGGCACTTAACGCAGGATCAGTATCAGCAATAGAGAACACCAACACCATTAAGCAATTTTTGACACGCAGGCACACCAGTATATGGAATTTAACATGTCGGCAGTGTAGGAGGACAAGCAATAGTAACGCTTGTGGCAAAATCTGTAATGCCAGTATTCCGAGGGGAGGCCTTCCTAAGGTTTTAGTTTCATCGGTATGCCACAAATAAGCTAGATAATGCAACATACATGTGTGCCAAAACACCTAAATGGTTAAGCCAGGCATCATTCAGCAATCCAGTCAGTGATAGCTTGAATGACTGTAACATTTACTGAACTCCAGCAGAGTTCAACAGTCTACCTACCTTACAGCTCAGCTAGTTGTATAATTACAATCTAACCTCTGTGGATTGTGTCTGGAAAGCAGTGAAAAATGCATAGGAAGCTATATCTTTAGATGACGAACAGTATGACAAAATGATGTGAGGCAGTCATGAAGGATAAAGAATGATGAGAAATATAATATGATTAAAAACTTTCAGTTGTTCGTTTCCATAATTTTTCCGAATACCAGTGTATGTCCAGGGTTGGCTTTTCCTTTGTGTATCATATTTTCAGTGGTAATCATATTCAGAGCTGAGTTTCTTGATGCGCTCTGTCTCTAGACTGTGCTAATACCACAGCAAGAGGTACAATGTCATAGAATAGAATTCACAGCCATAAGTGTGAAATGTCACACACTGTTAAAGCACATGTGTGTGGGTGTGTGTGTGGGTGTATATTATATATATATATATATATATATATATATATATATATATATGTATATATATATATATATATATATATATATATATATATTATGGCAAGCCAATATTTATTTTACTTTGATAAATATTGGTAAATGAATAATATGATTTGTAAAATGTTCAGACAGAGAGGGACTTTTGGGGTTGTGTGTGTTGTAGTCTTGGCCCTCTCCCACCTGCTAAACAGACTGTTCATGTTGTTATTTAATGTTGTTATGTTGTTGTTCTTCAGTTACAGTGTGTGTATGTGTTTACTGTGCTATTTTGTGCCCAGCTCAGAGTTAGTGAGAGTGTGTTTGTGTTTGGTGACCATCAGAAGAAAGAGTAGGGCTAGGAGTGACCTACCTCAATTTTCAGTTGCTTTTCAAGTGGCATTGTTTTCCCTTGCTCTCAATAAAAGAGCATTTTTCAAACAGAATTTATGGCCTCATCTGACTCTTCTTCAGCACCATGTCAAATTATGTACATACTGAAGCTCCTCCCATCTGTAGCTTCACATCATATATCAGGCACTCTCAGATCTGTGTAAACATACTGGTCACTTTATCAGAATTCCCTTTTTTTAATCTCCACCTGGTGTTTGTTAATGCCCATTTATTGATGCACAGTTTTTGTTGGCCATCCTCAACCCTTCAACAGTGACTTTCATTCAATATATATCAGTATATCATTCAATATATATCAGTGTTTATTCCATATATATCAAAGTTCATTAAATATTTCCTGTTTGGCTTGCCATATATATATATATATATGAAGAAACATCACAATTGTTAATAATGTTAATCACCTCCTGGGCAGAGTTACGCTTGTACACCCATTCATGTAGTGAATAATGAGGACAGCTGGTATCTTTTTTGAGTAATCGTAACCACATAAATGCAGAGTGCCCTTGAACGTTTACATTAAGTGAATTCAATTTATCAAATTTGCTAGCTTGAATATGTGGACTTTGTTTTTTTTAAAAATGATTGGTGGATTCTCTGAAGCACTAAGCACCTTATCGTCCTGCAGCTGTTAAATAAATAACACTAATGTTTCTCAATCTCGTCCATCGCGCATGCAGTGAGTACTACAAATCCACATGTAACACCTGTCCATGTGTCTCTATTGAAAAGACTTTTGACCGACAAACAAGGATGTTGGAGTAGGCCAAGTAAGCAGTGATTTACAGACACATTAGTCTCCTGTAAAGATCCTGTGGCAAATCTGTAATGCCAGTATTCCAAGGGGAGGCAAGTGTAGCAAGTACACCTTCCTATGGTTTTAGTTTCATCGGTATGCCACAAATAAGCTAGATAACGCAACATACATGTGTGCCAAAACACCTAAGTGGTTAAGCCAGGCATCATTCAGCAATCCAGTCAGTGATAGCTTGAATGACTGTAACATTTACTGAACTCCAGCAGAGTTCAACGTTCATGGATAGTAGTGTGAGTTTGCGGGACACGCGAACTTCACAAATCCAGATGTGAAACCATTAGCACCATTTTTGCTGAGCCAGATAAGCTATTGCATGATTACATGTACACACCATATGAATATTGTTCAGTTCTGTTTTTAACTATGTCGTGAAATAAAAATATCATAAATTTACTTCATTGGTTAAATATGGTTCTTAGTAATAAATACATTTCTTATTACTGATTACATTATTGTAAAAACTAATTACATAGGAGATATGTCTTCATAAGCATCTAAAATGGTTTTATGTGTATATGCGTGTGTGAGTGTGTATATACACACACGTCTGTGTGTGTGTGTGTGTGTGTGTGTGTGTGTGTGTGTGTGTGTGTGTGTGTGTGTACATACATATTGTGCAGCCCTTCCTTACGTTGTTAATTACTGGACTTAATGCATCTTTTTTTGCTTTGATTGTAAATAGCTGATCAGCCGAAAGGATAAGGCCACTTTTGAGAAGCTGGACTTCCTGACATCAAAGGAGGAGAACTACACCCGTATGAGAGAGTACATCAGATCCCTCAAAATGGCTCCATGCATCCCTTACCTGGGTGAGTCTCAAATGTATTGATGTTTTTATACATACATAAAGTGAAGTCCAATGTGTTTTGTCATCAGTAGCTAGAGGGAGCACTGTGTAATATGTAACAAAATGGTTTGTGGGCTGTGGTATTTGATATTTTCTCCATCCTATGTTTTTGTGCTTGGGAGCATTATTTGGAAAGCGCTACTTACCTTCTGGTTTGAATACAGTTTTTTTTGACTGGAATAATTATAATAAATGCTCTACATATTAATATCTTTTTAGCATTGTTGATATTTTTGCTGTTTACCAGCATCAAATTTAAATCAACAAAGCTCTAGGGAATATCCTGGGCTTTTCACTGTCTTTATATATGTGGAATGTTTTCTCTTTCTCCAAAGAGGAATGGCTTCCTTTTTAGTAACCCATTAATCAGCATTCGTCTCTATCTTTGAACTCAGGAATAACAGGGAGGTAACAATTGTATGTTAAAATATAAGTTAACACATCCTCTACAGGAAACAAACTTAAATTGCAAATTTAGTACACAGTTTATATTAATTTTTTGGATTTAACATATAAAATATAAAATGTGCCATAACATTTGCACAGCCCACATTTTATGTACCAATATGTGCATATAAATGTGCAGAAGAGTGTTCTGTGTAGGAGATGGGTCTCTTTGTAACTAAGAAAATTGACAAAATTTGTAATTTCTCCAGGAGTGCCCATACATTTGCATGTGACTATTTTTATTACACTTACAAACCAAGCTATGATATATATCTGATTTACACGTATGAAACTTGGTGACATTTTTGCTAGATCTCATCAGTACAAATAGATAAATAAACTAATCACAACTATATGTCAGATATAATCAGATTAAGGTGGATGGTATGAGTTTGATTCATACTGGGTAAATGAAACAGTGAGCCCTGTCTATGACGTTATTTTCATTTTCACCTGTTTCCAGCAGAGGGCACATAAGTGTGCCAACTCAGAGTGGGAGATATGCTTTTGCATGAAAATATAGTGGCTGCATCAATATATGTACTTTAAATCAACTCAACTCTTGGACGCATCTCATTAGGGTTCCTCTCCCACTCCTACCCACCTACAGGATTTACATTATATTGATGGCTTCTGCATTGTAATAACAAAGGTAGCATAAAACCAAATAATAAAACATATACACTGAATTGCTAAAATGCACATATACCTAGTTGGCAATATATTACATACTCCTGCCTTATACATGTGAGGTCTACCTACCTTACAGCTCTGCTAGTTGTATAATTACAATCTGACCTCTGTGGATTGTGTGTGGACAGCAGTGAAAAATGCATAGGAAGCTATATCTTTAGATGACTTGTAAACATTATAACTGTATGACAAAATGATGTGAGGCAGTCATGAAGGATAAAGAACGATGAGAAATACTGATAAAAACTTTCAGTTGTTTGTTTCCATAATTTTTCCTGTGCTTATCAGTAATCATTACATCTTTTCGAATGCCAGTGTATTTCCAGGGTTGGCTTTTCCTTTGTGTATCATATTTTCAGTGGTGATCATATTGAGAGCTGAGTTTCTTGATGTGTTCTGTCTCTAGACTGTGCTAATACCACAGCAAGAGGTACAATGTCATAGAATTCACAACCATAAGTGTGAAATGTCACACACTGTTAAAGCACATTGCTAAACACAGTGTGTGTGTGTCTATATATAGCACGGTTTTTCATGCAGTCTAAGTTGTTAGTTATGTAAATCACCTTCAGAGTTACGCTCGTACACCCATTCATGTAGTGAATAATGAGGACAACTGGTATCTTTTTTGAGTAATCGTAACCACATAAATGCAGAGTGCCCTTGAACATTTACATTAAGTGAATTCAATTTATCAAATTTGCTAGCTTGAATATGTGGACTTTGTTTTTTTTTAACAATGATTGGTGGATTCTCTGAAGCACTAAGCACCTTATCGTCCTGCAGCTGTTAAATAAATAACACCAGTATTTCTCCATCTCGTCCATCGTGCAGACAGTGAGTACTACCAATCCACACGTAACACCTGTCCATGTGTCTCTATTGAAGATTTTTGACAGACAAACAAGGATGTTGGAGTAGGCCAAGTAAGCAGTGATTTACAGACACATTAGTCTCCTGTGAAGATCCTGTAGACAGTAATGGCAGCAGGCGAGACTGATGCCTCCACTGAGCTCATCCAAAAACCATCACTCTGCTGGTGAACCAGCCTGGCTCACTCACTCTTACTCATGCTTACTCATCTTAGTCAGGAACAGCAGGATCATTATGACTTCTGCAGCTGCGCTCTTCACATTCGAACTGGATGAAAAGACTTGTTGAACTTGCTGGATCTTTGTTCAGGCTTATTCATGCCTCTGTGGGAGAGTTTGTGTTGGATTATTTGTGGTTAGTTTGATGGAGAGTGACTGATCAGGCCCTGAGCACTGCTGATGCACTCTGCTGTAGCTGTTTAGACACGCAGAACTGACCAACAGCAGATTGCAATGTTCCAATATAGGGCTGCACAATATATCATTTGCTAATTGTTATCAGGATATTGGCTTTTGCAGTACCGATATCTCAGAGAGTTGTAGTATGTAGATAAGCCTGCTCATTAAAAACAGTATTTCTTGCTGTGTGCCATGTGCACATTAGCCGATCACAGTTCCAGGTTAGTGTTTCTGAGGCCCTATTGACACTTGGCGTATGCATCTTGATAGACATCCTGGGGGGCTGGATCATAAGTGGACATTGCTAAATACAGGTGTGAATAGGGTCGAATTTGTCTCAGAGATGCATTGTGTCTAGCTTATAGTATTTCCATCTACACTGTATAAGTATAAAACTATTAATATGACAAGTGCTTCCAAAATTTTGAACAGTAGTGTATATCTTACAGTCCACTGATCAGATCACTCAAGATGCATGTTAATACCAGATAGAAACAGGACCCGAGAGTGTTTTGATGAATCATGCTATTCATGTAATTATTATTTTGGTCAAGATTATGCAGGCCAGTCTTTAGGAAAGTTACATTGTTGTTTCACCAGCATGCATATTGCAGTACAATATAATGCAGCATTATAATTGCAATATTCATATTCTGTCTTTATCACTACATGCAGGTTACAAAGAGAGTGTAGCTGGTCCTGTTTTACTGTGAAATGTTGAATATAAATCGTTGTATTCATAGTTTTTGATAGCATTTTTTAAATATACTTATTTTCCAGTTTATCAGATGCCAGAAAAAGTATACATTGTGACATTGTTTACTATTAAAAACAGGATTTTTTGCCAGATTGCCCAGCTCTACTTTCTAAACTTAACTTGTCTAAATTTAACTTTTAGCTGCATTCTGCGTTTTGTACTGTAGCATTTCAGTAATGTTCTTCTCCCACTCTCATTCACACAGAACAGAACTGGCACTGCTCTGTGTGGCACGCACCTGGTCTTTTGGTTTAGGGTACGCTGGTATTCCACTCTTTTCCCCCAGCATCACTTTCGGGAAGTCTCTCAGCAGCAGGCAGACGAGAGTAAGTTTCTGCTGCTGGGACAGGAAGGGGCTCTGGCATGCCTAAGGTTTAACACCCCGTCACTCTTCATTCTTCAGTCATTAGAGGACTGACTCTGCTGCAGTACTACTTTTCTTCCATTACATTGACAGACTTTATCATCTGCAAAATGTATCCAGGCACTTTACTCATATTTTTTTAATCACACTGAGAATGGAGAATAGATAGTGTGCGGATAATCATTCTCAATTAGGGCAAGCCTGCAAATACTGATATTGAATGATATTGCTTTATATTGCAATTTCTGTATGCCTTGCGATATGTTAAAAATGCTTTGGTTGATCAACAATGTGACTTTGTTAAAACTGTGACTGATCAAGCATGCGGTAAAAAAAGAAAAAAAAATCTTATTTTAATATTGTGGACTGTCCATTTCTGTTACACATAACCCCGAAAATATCAACAAAAAACAGGATGTCACTTCCGTAACAGTTACCATTTGCGAGACATCATATCTGGATACTTGTAGCTGTACATTTTTATTGCACCAGTTTAATGTTACAGGATGCGTTTGTTACATTTGCATTACAAATATTTTCAACAAAATTATTATATGTACAGAAATGTGTTGGGTCTTCCGCTGATTCCAACATTTTCATTTATACAGTACTTACAGTTTCTGATTCTTCAGAAGCAAACCCAGAAGTTTGGTAAAATCTAGAGTCAACACGTTGCAGAATACCTGATTTTAATATTGCGATTGCATTTTGTAAAAAGACATGCCTGTAACTTGAACTGAAATCATCAGTAGAAAACCTGTGCCTTGAATGAGAAGGTCAACTTTTTCTGTAGCTTTAATGTAGTTTTCTTTTGGTCTCTATAGCTTACATATTGAACTTGTGTTAGATATCTGTTCTAAGGCTACATTTATACAGCAGTAATACTAAAATGAGATACTTTGTCTTTGCCAGGTCAGTTTTATGTTACATTGGTACTTTATTGTGAAATAGTTGTGGTTTGAAATTGTTTTTTGTTTACTTTATATCTTTAAGAAAGGCCAGATGTGTACTAGATATATGGTGTAGCTCACTGCAAGCGTGAAGGCCTTAATTACTCAAACTGTTACACTAACGTTCAGGCAACAGCATACTTCTGTTGAAGCTGAATTCTTTAGTTTTCTGACCAGCTGCTGTAGACGTGCTTGTGGTTCTGTCCCTGTCCCTCCTAGCTTCTTCCTCTACTGCTTGATCAGACTAAAATTGAGATTTGCATAATTATAATGGCATATAACCTATATGTTAGCTGTTTCTCACTACCTAAATTGTTCTCCAATATTGCAGCATATCTATCCATAACTCAAATACACTATTTCAAGAAACCAGGCAATAAATTGCAATCCCTGAAATAAATAATGAGCCATTTATCTCACCAGACAACATTTTCTTTTGCTTTAAACAAACGTAAAGAGTCTTGCCACTGGATTATGTGTCCTGTGTCTTATGTCACATGGTACATTTCTTTGAAAGCATAAATTCCTTGTTATACTATTTCATGTTTGATATACCCACTCAAAGTAGATTAATCTAGTCCATATGAACAGCACAACTGTACAGGCTGGATGAAGTCAAGCTTTTGTTCTTTTGGTGAACAAAAGCCAGAATTATATGAGAACATTTTTTTTTTCCTCCACATGACTACAGAGTGGAAACTATTGTGACAAGCAGAATAGAGAGACCAACAGGCACATGTTCTTCCGATGTCAATAACTAAGGGTAATTCCTTTGTAGTCATTGTGTCCCATTTGTCATATAAAAGTTGCCTTTGCCATCACTTTAGATATCCTTTTTCTGCCAGACTTCTTAAGCTTGTCTACATATTTGTGATACAAATCAGAATCGCACAAAAAGATACTTTTCTTTGTCCCCCCCAACATCTGTGTCCCACTTAATGAAAGGTGTTGGGGTTGGGCCGGATCATCATAACTACTTTCTTTAGAGAATATGCTCCTCCTCTGAACTCTGCCCAGTATACTCCATCCTGGTAGCGGCTGCGATAGTGTCCTCCCCGGTACCACACACCGTTCAGGTTTGAGTGAGCACAGGCGTTATACCACCAGCCTCCCTTCTGATAGTGGGCACAGTTACCTGACAGAACATCAGGGTTGTACATTACTACATATGACCGGTAAGCATTTAAGTTATTTATGTTTTGTCCTTACATAGGGACCTTAAAGGTTCAATCAAATGCTAATGTAGCTATCAGTGAATGAATGTCTACAGCCACCATTTAACATTATGTAAATGAAACCATGCTGTCTTATGGTTAGCTTCCGATCACTCTTAGCCACATTTAGCAGATCCTGTACTGCTGTTCCTTTAAACTCCTTAAGGTCTGATGAAACAGACACTATAATGCTTTCATAAGACCTTTGTAAATGTACTGTGCAGAAGTCAGAGAGACCATCCTTTCATTTATTTAACTTTTGGTCAAAGCAGCCTTTAAGTGCAACTTCCTTATAAAGATCTAAAAAGCTCTAAAATGTATAGACTGTACCCTTACTCCTGTACCTTTACTCTATATCTCAGATGTCTGGTTTCAGTGATGACTTCTTGACAGCTACACTTCCTTTCAGACCCTTAACAGAGAGTTGTCTTCTTGCAGTGGACATAAACACTTAATGAATTATTTCAGATCTGAAGCAAGAGTGTGGAGCTTGATTTTCCCATCTCAAAGATGAAAGCTTTAAGTACTGTTTAATTGACGATGCCAGTTTTGGTGGTCTACCATGTCTCACGCAGTTGTTAGGAGTCCAATTTTCTCTATACCTTTTCATAATTTTTTTAACTTTATTTTTGGAAACATCTTTTTTTTTCAATAATTTTCCTTTAACTTTCCCCCTCCCCTTTGCCTTTCCCATTTTTATATCTAATATCCTTACAAATATCTCCTTTAGCCATTTTAGATGCACAAAGAAATTTACAAGGCAGCTAAGGCATGTTTGGGTAGTTTCTTATGTGAATATTTGTGTCTGGTTGAAGGGTAACAATGATGCCACTGAGAATACCACAGCTGTAACTTGTTGGTTTTAAGATTGGAGGGATGTAAAAATTAAAGTGGCAGTAGGGTGCCAAAAAGTACACAGTGGACAAATTAAATACTGGTAATTTGACATGCACTTAATGTTCTACGTTTTTGTGTAATTTTGTGTTAAATATATATTCTGCTTTTTTCTGACACTGAAAAGTGAATGAACATAATGACCATTTTGACTGGAAGTTAAATATTCAAAAGTCTCTGGTGGTCTTTCACTTTTGCTCAGTACTATATTATATATTAATGATTGTTTCCTACCTGTGTATGCATCATGATCTCTGTCCAGTGTGGTGAACTGTTTGCCATTATGCCAGGTGAGTGAGTCACCCGCATTGCCATGGTAACGCCCCACTCTTAGCTTGTAGAAGTCAGCCTCAGGTTCCAATCTGAAGCTGGCATATTCAGCAAATGTTTTGCGCCCAGACCAGTCCTCCAAGGTCACCAGTAGCTTGTAGTTGCCCTGGCTAGTCAACCAGTAAATGTTCTCCAGCCCTAGCCAGTACTCTCCGTCAATGTTCCCAAAGCCTTGCTGTTAGAATGAGAAAGAGGCAGAAATATATATTTTACAAGTCACACAGTTAACATAAAGTATTGTTTTTTTTAAAGGTGTCATTAAAAGAAGTAGTTAAATTTTGGTATTTGCAAGTTCACTATTTCTAATTAACAGTTTTAATGTCTTGAGATATATATGTGTCTATAAAGATGGCATGATTCAGGATGCATTGTAGACATTCAGCCTTTCTCTCACTCTGTCTCTCACTTAACCGATGTGGTTTTCATTAGCCAACACATGCTTTGCATCAGTGGAAAACTCTCTCCCGGCCGTTGTACACTTGTATTTTCTGTTTCCCATGTGTTTAGGGGTGCTATGGCAATGTCTTTGAGACCTGGTTTGTTTTGAACTTGGAAAGGATTCAGAAAAGGCTCTTGAAAATTGTCTACACTCTGAAGTTTACCATCAGTGTGTCACCAGATTTATCTCTAGCTGATGCAAATATTTACATATGCAAAAATTACAAATACAAATTCTACTAAGCAGTCATCGTCATCCTAGTGTTAGGGTTAGGGCTCTTCCAGGATAGTCCTTCCATATAAAAGATCTTTTTAACAAATTTTCCCTGAGTGTAACCTTTTATGCATTAATCACTTTATAATTTAGAATTGGTTTGCTATTTGCATTGAGTCATTCATGTCTCATTTGGTGCTTTGTGCCCAGCATATGTTCTCCATTTAAACGTCCATTCTGTTTGCAGACTGCACACTGCGTAATCTCTGGCCCAGCTTATGTAGGATACTATAGCCAGAAGCTATTGGTCATGAGACATTGACTGAAAAGGTCATAACACCAGCAAGCTGCCGTCATCAATCAGAGTGTGAATTTAGATTCTTATTACTCTGTGAGCCTTAAGTTTAAGGTACATGAAAGATGATTTAAGTCAGGTTTTGCTTTGTCATCAGTTCAGTATTTGAGTATTAAGTTTTTGATTGACCTGAAATGCTTATGGAAGTTCACAAAGATAATACTAATTAAAGAGACACTCTGGGCAAAATGAAAAATCTCTACATTTGTTGTAAACATGCTTACTCAAAACTTATAGCTGCTGTAGTCTCTAGAGTGAGATTTTCTGGTTTTAAAGACTAGGAAAACCCTCTTCTAATGTACATTGAAGGTGGGAGGAACTTTTGGAAAAACTACAACAGCTTTAGGGTAGGGGCAAAGTCTTTTTTTTCTTTATCATCAGTGCAGAAGCACGGAAAATGGCTAACATTACTGCTGGAAGGCTGAATATCTGGCAGCCCTAAAGTTGTAGGGCTTCAGCTCTTCATTGCAATAGACAGAATGGATTGCTCAAATGACAGAAATGACTCATCTGAGGGGGAGGACACCAGGCTAATGTTAGCAAGGAAGCTGGTTATCTAGATAGTTTATACAGTTTTGCTTCTTTTATCTAGCTGAAAAGGGAAAAAACTTGATGGTGTCCACTTTGTGCTGAATAAAGATAGAATCACTGTTTTCTTTAAGACTTTGTTCATTGACCGAGTTATACTAATGCTAACTTGGTTGCTTGCTGGGTGTTGTAATAAGAGAACATTGATGAGTGAAAGCAATATAAAATAATTTTCATTCTGTGAAACCATTGTGACTGAGAGATATAATGCTGTGCTATACAATATCACATTACCTGACAAATAACTTACCAAACTCATCCCTTTTTGCTCTCACCTTGTAAGTCTCCCAGTTCCTGAAGAAGTTGACTGAGCCATCCATGCGTCTTTGGATGACTGTCCAGCCGCCAGGATCTTGTCTTTGGTCACACCACACCTGCATCAACTTGTTTGTATTTTCTGGCCTTACCAAGAACATGCCACTATTCGTGTGGCCACCATCCAGAGCCTCTAGACAGTCCTTCCAAGGACCTAAAAAGACAATGAGTTTAGACAACAAACCAATAGAAGCCTTAATCTCCAAGCTCACCACAGTTGATCTGCTCTTGACATGAAAGCCTAATGCAAAAGTTCTTCTTATAACTCTTCATTTACAGCTAATGTTTCTACCTCTGTTCTCCTTATCTGTGTTCTCATCTTTGTGACTCACTACTTGCTGTGGGATCCCCTCAGGCCCACATTTCTGTGGTGGGATCACTGTAGTGCAGGAGTGTAAGAGGTGCTCTCCAGTTCCAGTGACCTGCCCTCAATGATCTACTGTCACAGGAGCCCTTGTTCCTCTTCTCAGCTGGAAAAACTCTCAGCACTGCACCGACATTGACTTTGGCTGCTTTTTCTGGCCTGGGAGATTGCCTGTGGTTTGAAGGCCAAGCACAACACTGGCATGGAAGCCAAAGAGGGCCCTGATTGCTAAATAATGCAACAGTAGCGACTAGATTAGCAGGTACTTCCAAAGCTCCCTGGGCACAGTATAGGGTTTTTATGAGGATGTGTCAAAAATGGCTCCAACTTCTATATTTTTCTAAAGCAGAAGCATAGGAAGAAGAGGTGAGCAAGATTTAATCCTAGCCTACAGAATGGCTCCCCAAAGCAATCAAAGCATCTTTTTTGCTCACTGCTCTAGAGTAGATGTTTTTGCCAATGGTGTATGTCTAATGCAGACTCCTTGTTTCTGTGTTGCTCTATGGCATGTCATTGAAAGATATGCTCTTGGCATTCATTTACAATGAGCAAACCAGAACTAAATGTAGTGTTATATCTCAAATGTGACATGCAGGTCCCTTGAAATCATTAAAATCTCCATCCGAGGTCCACAGTCTATGAGCACATTTAAAGAGTGTGAAAACCAAAAAGCCTAATGACTAATAAAAGTGATTTAATTGTGAGATAAAGAAACTATGCTGAACTTTGGAAGTGATAGATGAGCTATATGTAAGTTGTAAGAAACTTGGAGAGGATTCTGACAAGGTTCTTGCAAACTGTCTTTCTGTGCAGTGATGTTTATCATCAATTTACCACCAGATTTTTCTCCTTCTGATTCAAATATTTACATATGGAAAAAAACACAAATATAAAAAATTCTACTAAACAGCAATCCTGATTTCCCTGTACATAACTTTTCTATGCATTAATCATATCATATATATTCAGCAAAGAATATATAGAATATCTCATCACTGTCCAAATAAAACAAGTATCTATTTTTTTTTCTACATCATTTGAGCACAGCAGCAGTCCTTTACATTGTGTGAAAATTTCATGATGAATGGAAAATAAAAATGTTCCAACATTGCTTAGAATACAATCTCTTTAACTTACATTAGTTTTTTTTGGACAGTGACAATATGTATATGTTTAAACATCCTTTAAGTTTCAGCCCAAAAGTATATCATTCCTTACATTCCAGCTGTGAGCTGTATTTAAAGTCAACCTAAAAATAAAATTTACCATGTTTTTACCATGTGAGATCATGTTCCTGGTCATATTAAAGTTCATCATACTGTGCCATTTAAAAGACAAAATTGTTGTTTTCCTGTAATCTAAAAATAATATCTAATATCATGTTTCACCTCTCCCCTCTTCCACCCCACCTGTCATCAAGTGAAAAGCTGAGCTAGCTCAGAGACCCTCCCTGATGCAGTGCTTTATTAAATATGTCATGGTACAAAAAGGAAATGTGTCACGGTTTCCATTTAATGTTATCTTTAAGTTGAGTTCCACTCTTAAGTATTGCACATGATGTTTTGCATAGACATGGACCGCATTTAGTGGTAAGAGAGCTGTGACTGTAGTATTTGCTCAGCTGTTATTCCTCATGATTGCTTCTGGGATATGCTAAATAATTAAAGATCTGCTGATGTGTTTTTTTCAAGATTTTTCAGGTTTGATAAAGTGAGAATACGTCTTCACCCACTTATACGCATATCCGTTATTATATGGCCAGATTTCCACTCTCACTTCTCTTCACCACTTTTTTTCCAAATCATTTTATGAATGTTGGATTGGGATTTTTATTTGTTTTTGCTCAGAAGGGCTGCCACTATCTAGAAATTATAGTTGATAATTAATAGCCATATAAATAATTGCAATTAATGATCGGTCTTTTCTTGTAAATTTACAGCAACATTTAAAGTACGAGCTTAAAATGACCAAATTAGCTGATAAGCCATCTTGCTTCTTTGCTATGTTTACTTAACACTGGTCGTACTTTTCAAATGGCACACTATACTTTTAAATGTCTACAGTTACACAGAAACATTATTAAGAATCGAGGAGAGAAAAACATAAATACCTCTTAACTGAACGTGTGGGGATGTTGGTGTGTGTGTGGTGTTCAAGCATGCCTGTAGCACTGGCTACAGGCCAAAAGCATCATAAATATTTGTGTTTGTTCATGTGTTATCAGCCCCAGACTGCCTGATAGACAGCAGCCAGTGTAAATTCTGATGAGATTCGTAGTGGTGGTCTAAACACAGTATCAGTCTGGCTGGCTTTTCCATTCACACTGCTAGAAATAAAGGTGCTATGCAGGTACATTTTTCATTTATTCAAGTTACTAACAAAGTAAAGGTACCCTGAAAGGTATAACAGTGGTTTTAAGGTCTGATTGTGTACCTTAAATAAGTTTTTCCCAGGTGGAAAGTATGTATTTGTAGCTCTTCATAACCTAATGTTTTAAAACAGAACAGTAAAGTAAAAAAAAGATGAGACGGGGTGTGTGGAGTCAATACAACTTTCAATGGATTATGGTACAGTTATGTTCCCTGGCTAAAGGTACTGAGATGTACCTTTGAGGGTACCACCCCAATGACAGTTTAGTACCTTTTTTCTGAGAGTGCATAATGCTTTGATGATCCCCAGGAACTCTGCCCCGTAACTTCTCTTCTCAAGCAAGTTTGGACATACAACATTCAAATACCTCTGCTTATGGAAATATCCTAAACACCACTCACTACTCATATTGCTGTTGTTTCCACTAAGTCACTATCTTATTATTTCAACATTTCGTCTTTGTGCATATAGGGCCTAATGGAACTATTCTGTATCTGTAAATAAGCTGTTGTTTATGTGGCTTAGTTTTAAACAGTAGTTTTACAGGCATATGATCAGTGTCATATGATCATTACATTATTAAATTAAGCCTCTTGGGAAATGTATTCTGTTGATTTTCTGATGTGAAGTTTATGGGGTTTTTTTTCTTGCTCAATGTGTTGGAGCCTACTGTGCTTTTATGGCCTGTATTTATCAAGTTAACTGAGAGCAGGCCATTCTGAGTTTGCTGGCTTATTATTTCGGAGCACTGCTTAGTTTTACTCTTAGACATCTATGTGTCAGCATTTTAAACTCTCTCCTTGCCTTCTCCCTGTGTTTAAGTGGTCATAGTAGATTTTATAGTGAGGGGGGCTAGCTGCCTTAATCTAGGCTCTTGCCGAAGACAAGTCATTAGGAAGGCAAAAAAAGCATAATAGTCACATTTTTTCCAGCTAGTGGTTAAAATAATAATTCATTTGATAGATGTATTCTTAAAGGTATATTTTGTATAAGACAGAATGGCCATTGCTTCATGGATCAATGGATCAATGAAGGCGATTCACAAATCCTTACCTTTTTAATTGTGTGATCATATTTTTAACTAAACATTTAGCCACAGATATTTTTTACATAACTTTGATTAAGATGTTTGTGTTGTTCACTATAACGTTGTAGTGTGAAGTGTGTGGTTGGTGGTGACCTCCCCTTGGGTTTGGTGTTATGTATGTGCTTATTCTGCCGATTCTTCATTAAAGAGCTGTTCTTGGAGCAGAATCATGGCTTACAATATTAACATATCATAAAAGAGTAAAAGATTCAGTAACACGAGTTAATATACACAGAGGTGTACCTTTGAAAACATGTTTTATCATCCACAACAGCCAGAGGAAATATTTTGTATGTTTTTTTGTGTGGGATAAGGCTTGAGTAACAAAAGCAGCACCTGTGAATGGACTAATAAACTAATACAAACCGGACAAACCGGTGTAGTGGTGATATACCCATGTAAGGTAGTTGAGGTAACACTGAGAACAGGAAAATATCTTTTCACTGTCTCTGTAGCTATCCAATTTCAGCCAGACTTGTTAGTGTAGTTACAGCTGCATTAGGACTGACCCGGGCAGCATCCCTGGCAACACGCTCACGTTAAGGCACTCATGTTTCATTGCAGCAAGGTATAATATAACAGGGGGAGAGAAAATAGTATCAGTAAATAGAGGCCCAAGTATCAGTATTTTATCAATTAATTATGAATATTTTTAAGATACATAAAGCTCAATTTTAGACTAAAAGATTACCAAAATGCATTTCTGCGTTAATCCTTAAGATGGTGTTGTTTCTTACTGGTGAGACCATGGTCTCTGTCAGTGGAGCACAAGTTTAAATTTGTTTGAATTTGAATTTAGTGTGAAGAAAACAGTTAGAATAGATTACATAATAAATGGAATATACTGTTAATTCTTGACTATGCATTGTGACAGCTGCACAATGCACATTGTCACAGTTTGTGCAATATCAACAGCAGGATGCAGTATGACACTGCTGTCTCCTACTCATAAATGCCTCTTCATTTTTTCCACCCTTCATCAGACTTTCTGTTTTTTTCTTGTATCGACATTTTATTAGTTGCTATGAATATTTTGTAAAATGCGTTGAGCCCATTGTTACACCGTGTCCCAACAGCATGCAATCATTAAAATGTAGTAATGCATTGCATCACAAAACCTCTAGTCAAAATCTAAACAAACCATGGACCTATCAGAAAACAACTGCAATACTGAGAGCAGTCCAGCTGTGGTTTTGGGAAACTGATTTAATAGCGTGTGTAGCGGGCTATGTTTTATTTCCACATTTAACATCAGTAGTCTAAATAACATTATGCTAATCTGGTGTTGGGCAGCTTGGTTGTATCTGTTAACTTGTGTCTGCTGCATCTATAT